AACAGAAGCTTTACTTAAGCTGTGTGCGCTCGTCGTTATATTCTTGCTGTACATAGTATGTACAGTAAGCCCCGTTAGGGTTCCATCACCATAATGTCTAGTTTCATGGGACTACATGGTGGAAGGTCCCCGCATGGCTGATAAAGATCCTAATGACTCCTCGTTTGTGTGAAATAGGAAGGCATTTTGTTCATTAACACTGCTTCACTGACACTCATATCCTACCAGATGGTCACTTTCCAATTGATTTGGCTCATCTGTGGAAAAAAAAAATGAATTAAAACATTACAGCACCAAAGAGACGGTGCGTAATAGGCGCTCCTTTACATATGGGACTTTCTCACAGCTCTTCAGCCACAGATTGTATTTGGGCCTAATGTAATGACAAAGGTTACACATGGTAGTAAACGCCAGCATGGGAAGATTTAAATAGAGCTTCCTCATTGCTGCAATAAAGTGCTATAACCCGTGGAAATTCAGGTCCAATGCACCTATCAAAACCTATTACAAGCATGTGATAACAACGTGTACTAAAAGCACATGCCAAAAGGTTGAGTGAGGAAAAAAAAAAAAGAAAGAGAAACAGCTTTTCAATTTGAGCTTGTTGATTGTAAAAGTTGAAACAGCTATAATTAATTTTGGATATGAAGTAACTGTAAAAACATACATAAACTGCACGGATCACTGTCCAGTTCAATGCATGCTGTATGTCTGATGACAAGGATTTGAAATGATTCTCTAGCAGTGATGGCAGTGGGGTGAGTGACCAGAATGTCTGATCAGGGAGACTCTTAGCGAGGCTATGATTGAGATCTGACCAGCTATGTCGCTGCTGCAACATGTTGCCATGGTCACAGGATGGAGCTTTCAACATCATATTTTATTGGTTATTCCTTGATCCTTTGCTGCCTTGAGTTTAATTATTATAGAGCATGTAAAACTCCCGTCGAGTGTATAATTGATTGGCATCTGTCTCTCCAACCCTTGCATATAGGTGTGGATGCACTTTTACCGAGTGTTAGGAACATCAAAGCTAGGAAAATAACATCTCATATTCTGAGGAGGTGTCTGAAGTGTGTGCTACCTGCCAAGAGGAAGGTGCTGAGTTTCCCTTTGAGTGTGAGCAGTGTGTGTATCTGTGTGACAACCTAAAAGCAACACAACTTAAAAAAATTCCGCTCAGCTGCAGTCATGTGGTTCTGTTGTTTTTGCACCTGTATGCACCGGTGGTGTTGCGCTGTGTGTGGCACCTTTTTGGTGGCTCAGCAAACTTATTCCCATTTGTTGGAAACTCATAAGTTAAAAAAAGCCCCTTGAAACACAATATAGCAGAAAGTGATCTCAGCTGCTGCAATAAACTGAGATTTTTGTATACATGATTTAAGAGATGCATCAGTTCAAGTGCAAGGAATGACGCCAGCATATAAACATCCAGTAAGCATTGATTTCTTTTTTTATTGATTACTGTCACCATATGGAATGATAATCATTTTCATAAAATGCATTCTCTGAAATGTTATGCTAATGCCCTCATAAGCAAGTTATGATTACTTTTATTGCTCATTTGAATAAAGAATTGATTGAGACAGTAAGCATTAGATGATGTTTATGTCAGATTTATTGCGATCATCTTACTCCGTTGTAATTACAATGTGTTGCCATGCCAGAGCTCGATGGATGTTGTTTTGTTGTCTTCTTATTATCTGTATGAAAAAGGGGGAAAAGGATTTATTTGAAGTAATCACATAAGCCCTCTATTATTCAATATGAAAGAACATGGAGCAGATTTTGATGTGTCAGTATAACAGAGAGTGAGAGTAAAGAAGATTGTTTTTCCTAGCTTGTTTTGACTGATGAATTTTTCTGTATGTGAATGTTCTGAGGGGGAAATTGTATCACATCACTGAAGTTTGAAATTTATATCTAGTGAAAAGTTTGTTTTTTTTCCCAGATGAATTTAATTCCAAACATAATAAAATGTGAACAGTATCAGAATATGCAACAGAACATTGCTTGCTAACTCGCGAGAAGGACGTTTATCTTTTGGATTTAAGTTTGATTGCTGGACTATTGGATGTCCCTTGCATTGATTGGTCCGTGTCACTCATCTCCCCGTGCACCAAAAATACCATCTGACACCAGGGCGAGTAAGTAGTTCAGCCTCAGGCCTAATCAATGAGAGGCTTTTGGAGGTTGTTTACTGCCATGCTTTTGGTCCACTATGAACAAACCCAGCTGGCGTTTAAAGGACGGCAATTTTGTTTGATTTTCCCGAGATTTGAACACAAAAATGTACTGTTATTACAGAGGCCTGTCATCATCAGCAGCATGGTTGAAAGGTTGCTCATGTTTTTCAGTCGGAGTCTTCAGAGTATTTCTCAAGCACACATTTATCTCCTCATTGCTCTGGTCTCTGTTTTTCTACTTAAGCTGAGAGACCAAATAAAAAAAAAAAAAACAGAAGCTGAGATTTTAAAAGCTCTGCTGAGTGATTTAAGTGTTCCTTGGACACAGAGCATCAGCGGGTTTGGCTGAAGGATCCAGGGATCAAAATCAGAGGTCTTGCGCATGGCTAAAAAAAACAACCCAGTTCACTTCTTGCCACAAAGTAGGTGATTGCAGGGTTAATGTATCCCATTCTGCCATATGCAAATGCTGCACAATCGATCCATTTGAATATATGTGACCTCTATAGTGGGAAACCAGCATTCAGTCGGTGTAATAGAAAGAAATGTACTGCCTGAATTTGGCTTGTTTGAATATAACACTCTTGATTGTAGGTATACTATATTTTTTTGTAGTTTAAAAAGCCTTTTCAAATCCTTTTTTAAAAATATGAAAGCTTACATTTTTTTCTTTGATTTGACTGACAGCTGAGAGAAAGCTAAGATGTGTTTCCATTATACATCTGTTGTTCCCAAAGCTTTGATTAGAGTATAAATAATGTAATGTGGCATTGATTGATGCTCTATATAGGTTCATATGACTACACACAGTATTGCTGACTTTTGATTGAGCTATGCTGGAGTGCACTGACACAAACTCAAGATTGGCTGTCAAGTTCTCCACCTAACACGCCGTTTTATTTTATTTTTTTCCCCCACTTGGGCTTTTTCTCTCAAGCCAGCATATCTGATAAATTGTTTATCACCCTAAGTGTTTCTTTTTGACTCCAGAGAGACAAATGGGCAAACAAAAAAAAGAAATATGGCAGAAACCCATCATATTTGAACGCCTTTCTTTTTTCATGCCTATTGGTCACATGAGAAAGTTTGATGTCTAGAAGAGGAAGTAGGGAGAAAAAGATGCCTCCCCGATGATTGTATGCTTCCAAACAAATAAAGTTTTATAGAGGTTAGATAGGCTAGCTGCCCTCCCCCATACAGATACATGCTTTGTTTACCTCCATCTCTTCACTGAGAACCTTATAAGTCATGCTTCCACCTGATTGGTGCACAAACAGAGGATCAGGCAATACAAACTGACATTTATCTTCCTTTGTAAAATACCACAGTAGTATATCCGGCAAGAGGTGCAGTACAGAATGCTAATCGGCTGCCAGTGTTGCATAGCATTTAATCAGAGAGGGATAATTGTATTGGTAGTTAATTGATGAAACTTCCAATAGGGTAAAATGGACTTGGCATTTTCAGGTCAATCTAGCAGAGCCGAAGTTAGTGGTTTAAATAAACCTGCTACACCACACATGGAACATTTCACAGCACGACTCATGGAAATAGAAAAATGCTTTACAACTGCACACACAGATTTATTGAACTTGCCTAGGTACCTAACAAATTAGTGCATAAGAGGTAATGATGACATTCCTATTTGTTTTACTCCTGTTACTGTGAACCAAACCTCATTAGGGAAATAGAGGCATTGGAAACACTAACAACACAGCCATCAAGCAAGTTGCAGGTAACAACACGGTTATTCAAAGAGGTGACAAAGTCAAAACTGCACGAAAGGAAGCGGTGTTATTGTTCAGAGCTGCCTTTGGTTGAGTTCACAGAGGGGCAGCTGGCAATCTCTTTAAGCTCTGTGCAACTCTCTCCTCTGGTACTTGACGTGTCACAGCCGTTAAAAGCTGCTCCGACCAAAAATATCCCGTATTTGGATTGCTATAGTTTACGTATGTAGTTCGCTGCTGTTGGCATTGCTCACATTCGCAGAGCACAAAGCCACAATATTGATTTCTTTTCTGTTTTTCCTACCCCCTCACCCTCCCTTACATACACACACACACACACACACACACACACAGACACACACACACACGATTACACGCACACATACACAAACGTTTTTTTCCAACCTTACAATAGCCCTCTCTTCGATTGTCAGAACTGCAAAGTGGATTAAATTACACTCACGCTGTACAGATGTGTGTTGTACTTTTTCATTTTGGATAGAAAACTGAGCTTTGTAAACCACAAGCCTTCGGTGATGGGCTCTGGGATGACAGCGTGTTCCCATACTGAAATGAAAAACAAAGCACGATAACAAAGAAAAAATGGTGACGTCTGAATTTTAAAAAAATTACAAAATGAATGTATCTCATCCTGCAACTGTGAGATTTAAAATGTACATGGGCCACAATCCAGACACTTTAGCCGACAAACTAGATTTGAATGACAATTATTGATTTTCTTTTTTTTTTGTCTGGACCAGTTAGGCATGCGGATGACATACTGGCACCATTAGTTCACTGGTGCAATTCAAATCTGAAATGCTCACTCAATATACCAATGTATGTCAGGAAAGTGCTGCAATCCATGTTTAACCGGCAACATATCAGCTGGAGACATCTAGCTAAATAAAAGGGAGTGGAAATGCCCCCCCAAAAAATCTGCTTTGTGTACATTCAACACACACAGCTTTGATATCATGTCTCCTGTCTTCTTACCGTCTTCCTCTGTGTCAGCCCGACTACACATCTCCCTTCGATTGGCACTGAAAGAGCTCTTTTTTCTCTCTCTCTCTCTCTTCTCCTTCAGGGTTTAGTCGAGCTGCCCTACCATTTGGCTTAGTACGGAGAGAGCTGTCTTGTGAGGGCTACCCCATCGATCTGCGGTGTCCAGGAAGTGATGTCATTATGATCGAAAGTGCCAACTATGGCCGAACGGATGACAAGATCTGCGATGCCGACCCTTTCCAGATGGAGAACATCAACTGCTATCTTCCAGATGCCTACAAGATCATGTCACAAAGGTAAAACTGCAGTCGTCTCTGTGCTGTACAAAAAGATTGATTTCAAAATGAAGAATCTGCCAAAGTTACAGAGCTTTTAGAAAATAATTGACAGGGCTCACTGTTACAGTTCCTTTCTTGCTCAGAGCAAACAACTTTGGACTGCAGTCAGTGTCAACCATTTCATTTTTCTGCTTGCCCCTGTTGGCATCCATTTGTCCTGCATTTAAAAAAACTCCCTCTACTCCCGCCATTGAGAATGACTGCGCTGCAGTTGGATTGATTTACTCCAGCAAAAATAGCAAAACTCTGAGCAAGAGTGGAGTTAAAAAAAGAAAGCAAAATGCAACAGTAGCTTGTCCGCATCAATACTGTTCGAGACGTTAATGCTAGTAAGATGCTTAGACAGCTGAACCGGATCGAAAGAGAATTACAAACTTCTATCACAACATGGGAGGTGAAGCGGGCCTAATAAACAAGAAAACTAGCTTTTTCTCTCTGAGAAACCAGAAAGTGCTGGAAAAAAATCAAGGTTGATACAAAATTTACACATGAATGTAAAAAATTTGTATATGAATTTTTTTTTTTTCAGATAAATTCTCATAAAAAGAACTGTATTAAGTTTGTCAGGTACAGCTTGCAGCCGGTAATTATTCTGCCTATTGTCATTTACTCCGTTGAATAAATGGCTTGAAAATGCACTCTAGCTTAAAGATACAACATCAGTCTGTCACTCTTTGCTTGTGTGTGTGTGTGTGTGTGTGTGTGTGTGTGTGTGTGTGTGTGTGTGTGTGTGTGTGTGTGTGTGTGTGTGTGTGTGTGTGTGTGTGTGTGTGTGTGTGTGTGTGTGTGTGTGTGTGTGTGTGTGTGTGTGTGTGTGTGTGTGTGTGTGTGTGTGTGTGTGTGTGTTACTACAATACAGAAAACAGAATCATTAGAAATAAATAAAAATGTTAAAAAATATAGTGTAATATTTTTTAACGTTGCATATTATATTTTAAAGTATCCGTGAACAACATTTAGTTAATAACAGTTCTGTACTTAAACACTTTTTTTAGTTGCAAAATGTTGTCATGATTGATTATTTAATTTTTTTCTATTGTTACTTTTGCTTATCCTGAACTTTAATAAACTAATCTAAATGCACCCTCTGGTAAGTCCTGTTGTACAAATATAGGACTGCCCCATAGCTTACTGACCCCACAGAGATGTCTCTGCAGCTATCACTCATGTACAAGGACAAGGATTTAGTGTGGAAAACATACCCACTGAGGAGCAGGGGCCTGTGCACACACGCGCGACTCAGTAGGGTTCCACTGGTAAAACCGTATGCATGAGACCTTATCCAGGAGACCAGTTGTCACATAGGGATGCCATGTGAGCCAAAGTGCAAAAGATGGAATGACATATGAGTGCCACAGAGAGAGATATTGGATGGTATGAGAGCGTCAGCAACTCTGGCAAACTGCCCTGGGAAAAAAAAAAAAAAAAGAGAAATAAAACAGTGGAGCTCTTGTATTCAGGGGGTTTATTGTCAAGCCCTATTTGATGAAGTCAGATAGCTGACTCACATTGTCTGTGTTCAAAGGCTACAGGATGCATGCTCCCTGCTTGTGGCCCTGTGTATTATGCTGCCCTCAGCCATGCTCGTGAAGAAAAAAAAAAAAAGCCCACTGAAGCACAAATACTGACCCAGCAGGAGCCACCTGACAACAAACCCCAAAACAGTCTGGTCCAAACACGCCCGTTCATTTGTCATATGCATATCCTGAGAGTGCCAGAGGCTGCAGTTTAGATGTTTTTCCAAAAAGTGTTTTTAGCATTTCAATGTCACTGCTGAGCCATTGTACTGAGAGCAAAGAGAGAAATATGTGTGTTCTAAAAAATATCTCTGGTACAAAAGGTCTCTCTCAAGTGGGTGGGTTCAAAAATCACACAAAAGGAACCTTAAGAGAGTTGAGATCTGATACTGCAAGAAGATAAAAAGGATTAGATTGTCACATATTTACATAAAAGTGCCATACAATGATCTTTTTTATACAGTGTGCACATTCTTGTGAAATATATCACCATAGGAAGTGTGAGAGCAGATATAGGTTGTTGTCTATTTGAAAATCAGCCATAGATTTAAAGATGCACAGTTCAATCTCTATGCAAGTCGTAAAGGCAGTCATTGTAAAATCGGTGCAGAAACTTAAAACAGTCAAAAAATAGATTCAAGGGCAGCTTGACAAACGCCCAAGAGTGCATATGGGACTAATTAGCGATTTGTTTCCTTTTGTCCATTTATTTACAGGGGAAGACTAAAATAAGAAGCAAACATAATGAAATAAAGCCGCTGCTGCCAAAACGAATTACCCTCCATTGAGAAAAGCGGTGATTTTGTTTTGCTTGTTTGGAATGCAGTGTTTGTTTCATGGCTATGAGGTCCGCGGCCCTTCACTTCTCCACAAGTTGAGACTCCGCTCTGTGCTCTGGCTCCTGCTGAAGTGTTCCATATGTGGGGCTAAACCCACTGCACACAGTGTATGGAAGAAAATCATGTTTTCTACCGTACAGTGTCCGCCAGCAAAGGATTGAATAGCAAAAAATATTTGTTGCCATAATCACCCATGGCCTTCTAATTTAAGTGTGTGGGGGAAAATGACATTGGAGGAAATGTGCGTTCACGTTCAAACATGTAAAATTAATGTGGTCCCGAAGTGTGGAGAATTGGATTGAGGCTTCGCTGCGTTTGATAGATCCTGTTGGCACCACAAGTTGTTTTTATATCTGGCTGGCATATTAAATTCATGAGCACAATGATTTTATGAAAATAGCCTCAGGACTGTGTGGCTCAATTAGAACATTCAGCTGCAAGCAATTAGTCGACTCAAGTGGGTGATAATCCGTACAGGAATTTTTCACGTGGACACCTCCCCGACAGATGTGAAACTGCACGGCAGTACAGTTTGAAATAATTAATTCATTGATAATAACATTCGGCGCTGTGATTTTTCATGTCCTTCTTTCCAGGATTTGAGTATTTAATAATTACATTTCCTCATCTGCGCTGATGGTAATGATAACGGCTGCAACCACACGGATAATATCAACTAGAGTTCTCTGTACATACACCAACCATCTGGTGCTTATTGATTTAAATCTGACCACCAGTCCTTATCGCAGTAGCTTGAGGAGCAGTAAAGATGACAACGACACATCTTAACTAATCATTGTCATAAAGCCATAATAAGAAATACAGTCTGAATAAGCGGCTAACATCTATTGATTTATCTATGACTAATGAGCTTCATTCTAAGTATTCGATAACAAGGTCATTGATTGCTGTAACATGACATCGTTGGGTCTTGCTGTGCCGGGGGATCATGGGTTTTCCATGGAGTGTGTCATTGACCAGAATCATCAAAGCAGATTGCTCTCCAACAGGGGATGTGAGAATCATTAATGAGATTACAGAGTTAGACTTAGTTAGGTATAATTTATCATTATCAAAAAGCTGATCATCACTATTCTCTATTATATGTTTTTTTTTTTTTACAGTTTATATTAAAATAAATAGAGTGCAGCGTACCTGTTATGTTGAAATGACCTGGTGATATTAGCATTTAATCATCTTTGGTTTTTAAGTTCTTGTCCATGAATGTGAGGGACATCTGGAGAATAAACGATGCTGCTTACACTATTTATATCAGTGACAGGACTGCTTGCAAGGCTCTCCGAGGGGCTCCATTCTTGCCGCCTGACAGCACACTGCCTTGTTCTTTCTCTCTCTACATATAGGGCCAGTGTTTATTTAAAGAACAGCAGATTAAGATTTCATAAAGATCCAGTTCATGGGCCATGAAACTGCTCTCTACTCAAGACTACACTGATGGATACGATGGCGATGATGAGGTGTAAAAAAACATTCATCAGTGATCCTCATTAGCCAGTCATATTAAAAATGAGAGATGGGACAGATCTGAACTTATATCGGTATCGGGTTTGATATTGACGTAATTTACGTATCGGATATCGGACTGACAGTGACGCTCAAGAAAAATTGGGTACTTTAAACATTCTCAGCTCGCACAGTCTGACTTTGAAGACATTCAGACTGAACTGTCAGAAGTGCTTACAAATCGTCTCCATGATGACGTTCAGACGAGATGAAACAGCTCCTTCTATATAATCAAATTACAATTCTTACACTTCAGTTTTACCGATACGATTTTAAAACTTGATTGTTGTTGCTGCTTCCTGTTTGTACGTGCAGTCAGAACAATGCAGTGTCGGGTTTACAACAGCTTTGTGTAGCCTTACAGATAATACCAACTACAACAATAACACCATTAGTTATGATTGAAAAAATATCGGTATTGGGGAATATGTGACGGAAATTGATCGGAATTGAAAAAAGTGGATCGCTATATCTCTAATAAAGTTAATTATCTCAACTAACTTTTTACTTTGTTAAAATGAGGAGGAATGGATTTTGGCACGCTCATTAACAACTAGTAAATACTACAGTATTACAATGGTGTTAGGTGATATGACAGAATATCTACTATCCTGTGTGGATGTTTAAGTCTGATAAGCTTACACGGAAGACAAAACAAATACGGCCCCCATCGTTAGTGTTCAAAGTCGACAAACAGAAGAACTGCTTAATGGCCATATTGGGTTTTTATAGAAAGTGAACATGAACTCAAACATTCCTTTTATTTCAGCCATTAAGAGTTTACTTTTACGTTTTTACGTTTACGTTTTTATGTGCATCAATTGCAAACTGTACAACTTAATCTAATGTAAAATATAATTATTGGGGTAATATTTATCAAAAAAACAATGCAAACCTTTTAAAACATACAATAGCACATAGCACACAGTCATAGCACACATATGCCTCTTTAAAATGTTGAAAACTGCGCTGCATTCTGCGTGTTTAATAGATGACGTGTATGCCACAAAAACATAAAGTTCAAGAAAATGGAGAGCGATCGACACATAAACATTCTTTCATGTCAGAATATAAAAGG